GGCAGAAAAGAAATGTTTCAATTCAATTGTCCAAACAACAAAGACAAGCAAATTTGACAGGTATTTAACATTTTAGCTGAGATTTATATGATCAGTCCAAATAATAAATGGATGCTCGGCCCCTTCCAGCCAATGCCGCCGCTCCTCCAATGCCAGTTTCACCATAAGCAGCCGAGGAATCATTGAAACATTTTCTGGGAGGTGTGTGTGGGCCACTCCATCACAACCCTAATCTTGACTGGGTCAGTGTTCACCTGGCCTCTGGTGAGAATGTAGCCCAGAAAAGTGGCAGATGATGAGTAGAATTCACATTTTTCAGCCATTACATAGACTCTATTTTCCAACAGGTGCTGCACTCTACAATCCTAACTTTTTCCAGAGACCTGCAAAAAGTTAATATATCATCAAGGTAAACAAAGATGAGTGCATTCAGAAAACCTCTCAAAACATCATTTACCAGAGCCTGGAACACAGCAGGAGCTTGGAGTGTTCAAGAGGAGTGTAAAAAGTCTTCTTCCATTCATTCCCCTTGCAAATGATAAACATTACAGAGGTCGAGTTTAGGGAAAACAGTGGCTCCTTATAGGGCCTCAAAAGCAGAACTGATTAGCAGCAGGGGGTACTTATTCTTCCCAGTGAATTTATTTAGCCCACAATAGTCAGTGCAGGGTCTCAGTGTCTCATCCTTCTTATCCACAAAGAAAAAACTGGCACCTACCAGAGTGGAAGATGGACAGATGATCCTAACAGGCTCCTGACCCTCTCTGGCTGCTACAGGTCGTATAGCTGGCTGGAGAGGAGTGGTGTGCTGGGTAGGAGGTCTATGGTGCAGTCATAAGGTCTATGAGGTGGCAGGGAGAAAGCTTTATCTGTACTGAAAACCTATAAATCATGATATTCAGAGGGTACAGAAGTTCAATTGGGGGCAGGTGTAGTGACTGAGATGGAGCTGGTGGAACCTGATCTAAACTCCAACTGTTAATTTTATTGTCAGTCCAGTCAATGTGGGGGTTATGTTTTACTAACCAAAGAAAACTGGGGTGTAAGGAGAAGTGAATGTGAAAAAACAAGCGGTTTCCCAGTGGTTGCTGGAGGCAACTAGGCAGACGGGCTATGTCTGCTGCGTAGTGGTGGCGAAGATAGCGGAGTTTCCCTTGTGTCACTCCTTTGCTGCATATTTTCTGCACAGACACCTGGACAACTCTGTCCTACAGAGGCTGGGCATCAGCACCGTCCTGGATCGGTTAGTGCCACCGTCACTGCTCCTGCTGATCCCCCAGCTTCATCTCAAGCTCACCTGCTACTGTGGCCCCCACCTTTAACCCTCCTGTTATGTTGCGGGTCAGATTGACTCAGAACAGAAGAGATGTCACATGTCATCTGCATCACTACAGAAAATGAAAAAAAAAATCAAAATTATAAAAGAAAATTGTAAAACAACCAATGCCAGTGTTTCTGACACTTTTGGATGAGTAAATTTGCCCCGGGTCAAATTAACCCAGGAGCATAATTGGTGTTCCTGGAAACCAACATAACAGGAGGGTTAACCCTTATAAGTGCAACTTAAAGTTTTAGTTTGTAAAATCTCACCACTAGGTGTCAGTAGATTCCAAATTGCAGTCAACTGAGTTCTGTTTTTCTATCCCTCCGATTTCTAGTGCATTATAATAGGTACAGTGGCTGCTGTAGGACAAACAACTGGCCACAGTTCATCTGTTGTGAGGAGGCTATAAAATTTTGTTAGAGTCTAACACAAGTTAATGAAACAGCGAACTTCACTTTTTTTGGATAATAGCGATACTGAGGTGAGTTGCTGAGCATATCCTGAACTTTTCTGTCAATATGCACTGTTGCTTTTGCCACCGTGAGTTGAGTTCATAAGCTCTTTCAAACGTTTATGCAGTTTTTTGGACACTGGCATAATATTAGCTTATAACTAGCTGTTTTTGTTGTTTAGCTGGTTTGTTGTCAGCTATAGAGCAATGGAAGGGTCACATGTCTATTGTAATTATAATGGGTAATTATAATTGCAATGATAACAAGAATAAATGGGAATGTTTATGCACATTTTTAGTTTAGGACATGAAGCTTGTGGTGAGTATGAAAAGGATGAGGTTTAATCTAGACGCCAGTTGTGTTTCTCTCTTTTGGATTTTCACTCTTTTGGTGAAGGGGATCGCTTCTCAGATCACAAAACATAGTGATGATCCTGCATGTCTTTAGTCTGAAAGTCTAGACCAGGGGTGTAAAGCTCATTTTACAAATTTGGCCACACAGCCCACTTTGATCTTAAGTGGGCTGCACCAGTGAAAAATTATGTTTTTTTGTTTGTTTGTTTATTATCTAATGTTGTTCATGACACTAGTGTCATCTCCCTTAGATAATGTAAATGTAATATGCCAATATTAAATTTATTACATTAATAAATGAAATGTATTCAATTAAAAACTTACAGCAGTGAAATTTAACTTAGTTTCAAATACTGAGCTGTTGTATTTATTTATATTTCCTATCACTTTATATCTTCATCTCAAAGACAAGTATCTTTTACAATGTATATGTAGATGTATTGTATATAAGAGACAAATACTGTTCTTTAATTTTTGAAAGCTTATTTATATGGCCCCTCATTTAGGAATAAGATCCTCGATTTGTTTTGACTGGTCCCTCTGTTTGGAGCTACCTGGTTCTGCTTCATCTTCACTGGCTATGCTGGTATTCTCTGTGCCCCGATGAAAAATATTGCCATAAACAGTGTATTTAGCAACACCACAAAACAGACGATAGCATATAATAGAATATAGCATATTATAATAGCATATAAATCATAGATGTTTTCATTTCGTCATCCAATATATTTCATCATATCGTACAGCCCTATCTCCTGCCTTAGTGAATGCTTCTCTGCCATTACTAAATGGATGCATTTCAATTTCCTTCCTCTCAATCTTGGTAAAGTGAGTTTCTTAAGACAGTTTTTTAAGGAGGTCAGTCAGTGCATCGATCTCTCATAAGCAATATCAAATTCTGTCTAAACCCACCCAGTCAGAAAAATCAAGAATCTCGTAATCAATAACTACAGAAATGTCAGACTAAGTTACTGCTGGGAATTCAACATCTAAATGGCAGTTATTGCAATATTTCCTAGATTTTTTACTGCTCTTAACTTGTACTTTCTGCTGTGACCAAAACATTTCACACATGTGGGACTAATAAAGGTTTATATACCAGTTAGCCTAACTTGAGTGATGTCGCTACTGTTTAGTTTTCTGTCTTCATTCATGTCCAAAGTGATGGCAGAGCTTTAATTTTTCAGAAATCCCTGTAAGAACATGGTATATCATCTTAAGATGGAAATTAGCGAGCTAACTCCCTGTTAACGTATTACTCAGTTAAACTTCATAAATCCTGTTTTTCATGGATGCCTGGATGTTAAAATTTTATTGTTACACCTGATAAAGAAGTCACACTGATTTTATTAAAGATGAAAGACAGTTAGACAGTTTTTAACTCTCAGTGATGCTGCAGGGTTGTTTGAGTTTGAGAAATGAAGAGCAGACACATTTTTGACATAAAAGAACTCACCTGCTTCTTTAGATATTAGTCGCACTGGTTTAAGTGTCAGGAGTGTGGGAATGAGGAAATGGGAGTGGGATCGCTAGGCCTGAGTTTGTTCTGTTTGGCCCGGCATCAGGTCATCAGATAAATGAAGTGAATCTTCTATATAGAAGAGTCTGCCTGCACCAAATGTTAGCTACAATAACACAAACACATTATTAGAACGAAGTAATCCAAAGTCAAGCAGTTTCTTTCATATAGATTTTGCTATGAATTGAATTCCTACCTGTCTGTCTTTTCTTTTTTAAAAACCGAGTCTTCCCCTATAATTGAGCCCCTTTGGTATTTGGACCAAACCAAATCATGAAATAAAGAGGGGGAGGCAGGGTCAAAGGCTGACTGTATTTTATTCTGTTGCAAAAAAAAAGAAAAGAAAAAAAATTCAACTAATGCTAGGAAACAAGCACGTTTACAATTATGGTCATAATTAATTAATAATTGTCTTAAACAACAATAAATAAATAAATAAATAAATAAGAGTGTTCAACTGCTTTCTAGGGACTCTGTCAGTAATGGGCCCAAAGAATCACTTGTCTCCCCCTTATGCCAACCCTGCCTCTTTTGGCTCACCTGTGGGTATGGTTTTGATGTCGAATCTGTAGCTTGCATTCTTCCTCTTGGAAGAAGCACACTGAGATGTTAGCTCTCCCTGCCCCTATTGGCTGCCCCTCTTTCCAAGCTTTCAATTGTCTCTCCAGTCTTTACCACTGTGTCCTTGGTTGGCACCCCAGTCTATTACTGCATATCACCTGCTAAGCCAGGAGTACTACTGCTGGGATATTTCTAATTATAATTCGAGCTATTTGTATTTATTAGACGTATTTGTTATATTTTGTAACTTTGTAGTATATTGTGTTATTTAATTTAATGTATCTAATTACTGTTCTTGTCTTGGCGCAACTGTAACCATATAATGTCCCTGGAATTAATAAAGGATTATCATGATGATTTTGATACGTCAAAGATAGATCTTAAGACATATCCTTGATTGCTGGTAAATTACGATTTAAGTGTACTGCTGTCAATGTCATAGTTTTAGAATAATTATGAACTTCAATTAAACAAGTTTAAATATTCAATAACTACAATATTTACAAGAATACTGTAAAACAAATTAATTGAATTAATATGTGCTATATTATCACTCTGGTGTTTTCCTCTTCAGACACAGGCGATAGAATGGAAGATAATCAGTTAAAGTTAAACAGCTTCTTGATTCTGCCTGTAAAGCCAACGCGTGTTTCAACTGTCTAATTATTGGTACTCCCGTTGGAGAAACTCGGGTCAAAAATATGAGATAATGTCGGAAAGAAAACTGATTCTATCAGAGGAATCAAAGTGTGCGGTTTAGCAGCACTCATGGTCTGTGTGTGAACTGCAGACAGAGAGGGAGGGGGTTGCAAAAGCGGTGCGCAGTTACGGTAGTAGCTAAAGACTGTTTTCACTCAATTTCCCAGTCCACAAGATTGTGAAACTAGCAAACAGTGAAACTCAACTAAATCAAACTAAATCCAAGTTCCGTGTGGACGTTTCTCTCCGAGGTGAGTTTCTTCGTTTACTCTCTTTACTTTGGGTGGTTTTATCTGAATGCCTGGCTTGTAAACACGGTGTATACACTCCGTACATTGGATGAATCTTCCGTGTGGACTGACTTGAATTACGGCAGCAGCAGGGACGTAATTCTGTTTACTTCGAAAAAATAACTGCTAGTATGTTAATTATTTTAGCTAGTCCTATCGCCCTCAATTACTTTCATCATGTTAACTTACTGAATATTTCCATGGATAGACAGCTGAGTTCAACATTCTGTGTTCTTTAGCTGCTCTATTTAGGTCGAACTACAACAACTGTAACAACAAAGTTTATAGTGGCTTTGTTTTACTTAAAAATATCAGGATATGTCGTTTACGTTGGGCCTCTCTGGTATAAATTATTCTGAAAAGTAGTGTTTGTCAGATAGGTTTGTTTTTTGTCAAATTTTACATTTATAGCTTGAAATACCCTGGTACATGTAAGAAAGCTGTTGTAACTTATGCTGTTTATTGTTCAACAAGATCAAGATATTCCCTCGGTGTGCACAATTATAGTGTTTACAAAATAAGTTTGATGTGAATGTAAAGGGTATATGAAAATAGAATAACTGCCGTAGTTAAATATTATTCAGGATCCACACTGCAACGTTCCCATGCTGGTGCAAGTTCAGCTACACCCGATGAGTAAAAGAACTACTTTGAAATAAATTAGGCTAAGATAAGCAAGGAGGGTATTTAATATGGGATATGAGCTAATTAGGAAACGCTTATCAGTGATATTTTAAAATGATAGCTTAGTACAATTTAGTAAGCTGGATCCAGAAGACAGAAAAAATAAATCTTGTGAACTAGCTTTGATGAATTACAATGTGATTTGTCATAAAGCTTCATTGTTTATTAATGCTATTTTCCCATCTAGACTCCACCAGGGCTGCCGTTTGTCTTGTAAAACTGATTTCCCCCCCCTCTTTGTCAGTAATTTCATTCATGTTAACATGTGTAAACTGACTTAAATTTTGGGAAAAGGATTAGAATATGATGGTAACTGAAATTCTACTTTGTGCTATATATATGTATGTAGATTAGATGGTAGATGGACTGATTTTTATATAGCGCTTTTCTACTTCCTATATACAACATGCCACATTACCCATTCACACAAGCACTGTCTTCTATGCTTTTAAGTGCTTACTGACTACCATTCACGCACTTTCATACTCCAATGGATGCATCGGAGAGCAACGTGGGGTTACTATCTTGCCCAAGGGTAATTGGCATATTTGGGATAAGCCAGAGTATTTTCTGAGAAACTGTTAATGGATTTAAAAATGACATTTACCTGTTCAAAACTAATTATTCAAGTTAAACATAGGCAAATCAGAAGTGGCATTAGGGCTGTTCGATATAACAATATATATCGGATGACGATATAAAAACGTCTATCGTTTCATTTTACGCTATCGTTTGTTTCGTGGTGTCGCAAAATAAACCGTTTACGGCAATATTTTTTCATCGTTCTGATGGTCACTGCACTGGCTATATTCATTTCTTAAAGTTCTCTCTTTCTCTTATATTTAATGTAACCACAATACAGACAGACAAAATAAACTGAATCACGTGAAAGAGCAGATTATTTACGGATGAGAAGTAAAAAAAGAGCCGCCAGGTGCTAAAAAAATAGACCTTAGACTCAAATGTTAGAACAGGCTTTTCCCCGCAGCACGCTGTGTAATAAATACTCACAAAGAAAACGGCGGCCGTTACAACTTATGTCTAGAAATGTATCGTTTCATGCATCTGTTAAAACACTCGACTTCAGCTACATGACGCGCAGCTGGAAACAATTTCCGCAAGTCGAGCTGCCCGAGATTCACAGAATTTACAGAAAATGTTACATTTTTGTGATTTATATCGTTATCGATAGAATTCTTATATCGGGATATGAGATTTTGGTCATATCGCACAGTCCTAAGTGGCATTGCATTGCGTTAGAAAAAAATAAATACCCCAGTACTGCTGTAAAGTAGTCCTATTTACTATTTACCTTGGCAGATAAGATAAGATAAACCTTTTAGTCCCACAAGTGGGAAATTTGTGGTCACAGCAGAAAGTACAAGTTAAGTGCAGTAAAGATTAAGAAACAAAACAATTGAATAGAATAAGATTAAAAAAAGAACATACTATACAAAATAGAACATAATACTATATACAATAGAACAAAATACTATTTAAATAAATAAAATACTGTACAAAATAGAATAAAATACTTTGTTATATTGGGAAGATTGCACTTGGTACTATTGCACATAGGAAGACAGAGCGAAAAGTTACCTGTGTGTATGGGATATGTGTGTCTGCACGTGCGTGGTCACCCACAGAGACCATGTTGTAGATTTACTGTTAAGGTTAGTGTTATGGCAGGCAGGATGTAACCCAAATGCAGGACTCAACACACACGGGGATAACTCAAAGAGGCAGCTTTATTTGACAAGGCATGGAGACATGAGGGAAAAACAGAGTCCACAACATTGAAAAAACAGTTCTGGGGATCGCCTGCGACGAGACAGTTCAGAAGGCCGACTGCGTTGAAGGCGGCAGCTCCAAAGCAGGTCCGGAGGCCGACTGTGTGGGAAGCAGCGGTGGTGCAGAAGGGACCCTCCAGGACCCCAACAGGGAAGAAAATGGGAGTGGAAATCTTCAGGTGACCTGGAAGGGGGCCGGTGTTGGTGTGGTTAGGTGGTTGGATGCGGACATGCAGGCAGTGCAGGATGTAGATGGGTAGGCGTGTTGACCTCTGGCAGAGATAGAGCTGAACCTGGTGGCGGAGCAGAAGCCGAAGGCAGCTGAGCAGGTGGCAGTGTGGCAGGCGGTTGAGCGGACTCTCCAGAGCCCCCAGCAGAAACAGGCGGGGGTGCGGAAGCCACTGATGGCTGGATTGACTCTCCAGAGCCCCCAGCAGAGACAGGTACAGAACCAGACAGTGTGGAAACCTCTGGCCGAGCAGAACCAGGACCAGACGGTGTGGAAACGTCTGGCTGAGGCGGAGCTGGCTGGAGCTGCATAGGGCACGCAGCCGTCTCAGAATGCAGCAGCTTGGGCTGACAGAGACAGCAACGTGAAGTCTATAGCGGGCCAAATGAGCTCTCACCTGATGCAGGAAGTTGGGTCGGCTTGCCGAAGCTCCCAGCGGAGGCTGCTGCAGATGACAGAGGAGGCCGGTGAAGACAGAGAGCTGGAGATTGACTCCTCATCCTCTGACCACATCGCTGCTAGGATGCTCAGGTTGGAATGTGGAGGGCAAGAGATTCTGCATCAGGAAACACCCACCCGCTGCCACTGCCGCAGTGACGTGCAGGAATTTTCCTGCTACCGCTGTGGGGTCGCGGAGAGCACCGTCCGCTGCTGCTGTGGCGGCGTGGAATAAGGGGAGCAGATGAGATTGGCAAGCTCCTGGGCTTGAAGCGCCTCATTTGTCTGGCCCAGATCGTGGACAAAACTCCAAAATCCCAGAGAGCTGGTGCAAGTGAGGCCCGAGGATTGCCTCAAAGGCATTAAGTCCAACAGATATTGTCCTTGCGTCCAAGACATGGGAAACTCACCTCACCGGGCTCTGAATCCGGAAAAGGTACCTCTTTCGGGCTGAGTCCGCTGGGTCCATGTCTTGGTTGCGTCGTTCTGTCAAGGTTAGTGCTGTGGTAGGCAGGATGTGGACCCAAAGGCAGGACTCAACACACACAGGAATAACTCAAAGAGGCAGCAATATAAAACACAAAACATAACCTAAGCCGTGAGTTAACTAGAACCACTCAGGGAAACGAGGAAAACGGGAGAGACACACAGCAACATGATGGTAACAAGGGCAGAGGAAAACACAGGGCTTAAATACACAAGGGAGTAACGAGGGAATGAGACACAGGAGAAGAGCACAGCTGGAAGTGGTCCCACATAACGAACGGGGAGGAAGCAAAACTGAAAACACTGAAAAAACTGAAATAGGACCCAAGACTGTAAAAGTAAAACAAGAAACAAGAGACATTCACAAAGACACGGACTAGACACTAAGACATGAAACCTAGAGCATGGGAAGGCGTAGAAACAGAAACCTAAAGACTATGTCATGGTCCTGTGTCTGTGTCTCAGTGTTTTGCGTATTATTATTGTAATTTGCTATTTCTAGTATTTAACCCTCTCAGGCTCAAATTAAACTTTTTGTTGGTAATGCACAACCAAGTCCTGCAGTGGTATTTCTGAGTAAAAAAAAACTTATAAAATATGTATGTGGGGTAATCAGGTTGTTAGTTTTTAACTGTTGCAAATCGGCAACGCCTGCCTTGAGAGGGTTAATATAGATTTGGTTCAGTGCCTCTGAGTTTTGTCTATGGATTTCCTATTTTACTTTGAAGGTCTGTGTCTTATGTTGATGTTTCTAGTTTTGCGTCTACCTGGTCCCGTCAGTTAATTTGCATTAGCTGTGTTCCCCTTTTGGTGCTTGTTCCCCGTGTGTTTGCCTCTGTATTTATAGTGTGTGTCCTTCAGCGCTCGTTGTCGTGTCGTACCACCGTTCCTGCCTGTGTGTTCCGTTCATGTGCCATTTTGAGTTTTGCATTTCGCCAGCAATAAACCTGTGGTTGTTTTGAGTTCACTTCTGCCTCCACGAGTCCTGCACTTGGGTCCTTTTTCATGCCTGCCTACACACAGACCATGGCAAATATGAAACACACAAGGAGAACAGTAAGGAGAACCAAATCTATGAATAATACTAAATCAAAGGATGTTAATTATTCAAAAAACAGATCCAGTACGGTGCCATTTACAGTGATTTAGTGTGGCACTTTAATTAATTTGGGGGTACAGGACATTTTGAACAATAGTGAATGATCACATCTTTTAAACTTCATATCCCAAGTTTGCATTGCAGCATTTCTATTTTAAATATTCACCAAACCCAAGTTAGCTAAAAGATCGTCTGTAAAAGTTTTGGCCAGTTTTGTGTTATAGAGCAACTTTTT